AGACTAGCCTGGCCAATATGTTGAAACCCCGTCTTTAATAAAAATACAAAAAAATTAGCCAGGCGTGGTGGCAGGCACCTGTAATCCCAGCTACTCGGGAAGCTGAGGCAGAATTGCTTGAACCCGGAAGGCAGAAGTTGCAGTGGGCCGAGATTGTGCCACTGCACTCCAGCCTGGGCAACAGAGCGAGATTCTGTCTCGAATGAATGAATGAATGAATGAATGAATGAATGAAGCTTTTAACCTTTAGGCAGATCAGTCTACCAATCAGTCATTAAGTCTGTATTGAGCACCATGTGCAAGGCAGTGGGGATGGGACATGAAATAAATTTAATGAGTAACAAACAGCATCTTTAAAGTGAGATAGGCTAGAATCCAACAGAAAATATAACAACAGGCTGGGCACGATGGCTCATGCCTATAATCCCAGCACTTTGGGAAGCCGAGGCGGATGGATCACCTGAGGTCAGGAGTTTGAGACCAGCCTCGCCAACACGGCAAAACCCCGTCTCCCGTCTCAACTAAAAATATAAAAGTTAGCTGGATGTGGTGGCATGTGCCTGCAGTCCCAGCTACTCGAGAGGCTGAAGTAGGAGAATTGCTTGAAGCCAGAAGGCAGAGGTTGCAATGAGCCAAGATCGCACCATTGCACTGAGCCAAGATTGCGCCATTGCACTCCATGCTGGGAGACAGAATGAGACCCCATATGAAAAAAAGGAAACTGAAAATATAAGAATACATAACACATATTATAAGTATTAATGCACAAAATTTTGTTCGACATAAGCATGAGTACCAGGTGGTAAATGGCAAATGTTTTCTTACTATGAGTCTTGATCAAAAAGTTTGAAAGACACTAGCTAGTAGGATGAAAGGTCAAATAAAAGAACTGAAAACATCTTTTCTCAATACACTCATCAAAGGAGCAGCAATTTTGATGTAAAAAGAGCTCCAGGGGCCAGGCGCGGTGGCTCAAGCCTGTAATCCCAGCACTTTGGGAGGCCGAGGCGGGTGGATCACGAGGTCAAGAGATCGAGACCATCCTGGTCAACATGGTGAAACCCCGTCTCTACTAAAAATACAAAAAATTAGCTGGGTATGGTGGTACGTGCCTGTAATCCCAGGTACTCAGGAGGCTGAGGCAGGAGAATTGCCTGAACCCAGGAGGCGGAGGTTGCGGTGAGCCGAGATCGCACCATTGCACTCCAGCCTGGGCAACATGAGTGAAACTCCGCCTCAAAAAAAAAAAAAGAGCTCCATAAAGGCAGATACTTTTGTCCCTGTATCCCTAGCACCTATCACGGTGCTGGGCACACAGCAGGCCACCAATAAATATGAGTTGAATAAATAACGAGTGCTTACTTTGTTCAAGATGCCACAGGGGATGCAAGGCAAGGAAAATGCAGTTCCTGCCATTACATCTAGAAACCTAGGATTGAAGGACACGCCGAAAATGCAAACAGACCCAAAACAAGGCAGAATGTAGATGCCACCAAAGGAAAAGTCACGGTAAGATGTGAGCCCATCCAAATGAGGGAGAGATAAAGAGCTTTATGTGGGAAGCAACGGGAACTGAGTTCTGAAAGATTGGAATATTTTGATGCTGAAGATGGGTGATGGGAGGGGAAATGCAGTGCAAAAGTGCGGTCCAAATGAAGCCACCCTCAGAGGGCTAATGAGAATTCTAGACAGAAATGTAGTTCTAACTGCCCAAGCGCAGTGGCTCACGCCTGTAATCCCAACACCCTGGGAGGCCAAAATGGGTAGATCATCTGAGGTCAGGAGTTCGAGGCCAGCCTAGTCAACATGGTAAAATCCTGTCTCTACAAAAAATACAAAAATTAGCTGGGTGTGGTGGCGGGCACCCGGGATCCCAGCTACATGGGCAGCTGAGGCAGGAGAATTGCTTGAATCAGGAAGTGGAGGTTGCAGTGAGCCGAGATGGTGCCATTGCACTCCAGCCTGGGCAACAGAGTGAGACTCCATCTCAAAAAAAAAAACAAGAAATGTAGTTATAATTAACCATTAATCAGGTTGCTCCCCCCCTTTTTTTCCAAGAGCACAAATTTACATTTATTTATTGACTTTTCATAAGTTTAAATCCTTGAGGGGTACAATTCGTATTCTGTGTCCAATAGCCTCAGCAGGAAGGTTGCCTCGGAATTTGGCACGAACCATGCCACTGTTTCCATGGGCCCAAGTTACCTTTCCTCAGATTACTCTGGTTTTGTTTGGTTTGCCGCCAGGAGTCATTGTGTTGTTCTTTGCCTTGTATACATAAGTACATCTCTTGCCCAAACAGAATTCTGTTTCATCTCAAGCATAAACATCTTCACTTTATTTATTTTTATTATTATTTTTATTTTGAGGCGGAGTCTCCCTCTGTCGCCAAGCCTGGAGTACAGTGGCGTGATCTCAGCTCACTGCAACCTCCACCTCCCTGGTTCAAGCAATTCCCCTGCCTCAGCCTCCCGAGTAGGTGGGATTACAGGTGCATGCCACCACGGTTGGCTAATTTTTTTGTATGTTTAGTAGAAACGGTGTTTCACCATGTTGACCAGACTGGTCTCAAACTCCTGACCTCAGGCAATCCACTCACCTCGGCCTCCCAAAGCGCTGGGATTACAGACGTGAGTCACCACACCTGGTCAACACCTTCAATTTTAAGAAGAGCTGTGTGCCCCCTTTCGTTCCGGAGACTCCACTTACAGCCAGCAAAAATGGCCTTGGACCACAGCCTTCGAGACATACTTCCTTTTAGAAGTCTTATTCCCAGCAGGCCTCCACAGGAGCCAAGATGGCGGGAAAAGCTCAGGTTGCACTTTCACTACTTCTTTGTAACAAAAAAATCACAGATACTATTTGCATCCCCATTGTTTTTACAGATAGGATTTCTAACAGTAGACTCATAAGGGTTTTGCTTAAGAATTGCTTTAGATGTTTTTAAGATCTGGAATTCCAGCAAAACTGCTGCTGCCCACCAGTTTGAAGACCCCTCCCCCCAACTGAGGAATGGAATCAGCATGAGAACAGGTTCCTTATCTCCCTGTGCCATAACTTCACCCTGCATTCTTCCACGAATCAAGGATCTCCACACTTCAGCAAAAACACGAGGTCCAAGCTCCTGGGGGAGATGGATTTGAGGTTTCCTCTCTTTTCCTGTCTCCTCGTTCAGCGGCCCTGCAACTCAAACTCTTTCTCTGCTGCAACCCAGTCTCAGTGTAGTGACTTACTGAGCACAAGGAGCAACAGACCTATTACAGTTACACAAAGACCACGTCAGAAGAGAAATGGCGTTTGAACTGAATGAAAGACATACAGGCCAGGCGAGGTGGCTGACGCCAGCACTTTGAGAGGCTGGGGTGGATGGATAACGAGGTCAGGAGTTCGAGATCAGCCTGGCCAATATGGTGAAACCCCATCTCTACCAAAAATCCAAAAATTAGCCGGGCGTGGTGGCGGACGCCTATAGTCCCAACTACTTGGGAGTCTGAGACAGGAGAATCGCTGATACCCAGGAGGCAGAGGCAGAGGTTGCAGTGACCCGAGATTGCACCACTGCACTCCAGCCTGGCGACAGAGCGAGACTCTGTCTCAAAAAGGAAAAAAAGACATATAAAGGGAAGTTAAGTCCAATTATGGATGCCAGGCTGCGACTTCTGTGCTGAATTTTTCTGGAAGTTAATGGGGAACTACTGAAAACATCTATGCCTAGTGCAAGTGAAACAATCCGAGTTGTAGTAGTAAAGTAGTGTTGAGGCTGAGACTCAGGAAATCGGAGATTTTGGGCCATTTGGAAGCAGTAACTATGTGATCTTGGAGAAGTAACTCATTATCTGGCCCTTATTTAAGATTTAGGATAAAGGAGAGGAGCTTGGCAAGCAGTTAGTTCAGTTAGGCGCCAGGCACCCAAGTATTCACACGCATTGTCTTTTAATTCTCTCTACTGCCTGGCAAGAAAGGGACTATGACTATCTCCACTTTAAAACAAGGAAGTAAGGCAGGGAGCGGATCTATCTTCTGCACGGTAAACGGGAGAAAAGAGGACCCCTAGCTAGGTTTGAGTTAGAAGACTTCAAAGGATTCTTGTTGCTCTAGGAGTCGACAATAGCTCCAGCAGCGGCCGAGCGGGGAAACGCTGGAGGTGACCGGTAACGAAAGAAAACTTCACATCATGGAAAGAAAGAGCATATTCACTGTGGACGAAGACATCACAGAAAGTTCGCAAGTCCTTTGGGCCACGGACTCGCTGAGTGACCTTGAGCAAGTCTCGTCCCTCCTGAGTATCAGGTTCCTGCTCGAAGGTCTGCGGGACTCCAAGCGACATCTTTTCGGCCTCCTCCACCCGGCCCGCCACCCTCCGCGCCCTCTCTCCGGGGGAACCCTGGGCGGAGCCACGAGAGTGTCTCCCCGTGGCGCCCGTCTGCCCTGCTGGCCCAGAAGCCTCGCAGCCCGCGGGTCGCTGGGCCTCTTACCCGGGCGTGCACAGTCCCCATGGTTCCCTCTCCAGCCGCTGCCTCGCAAAGCTGCCCGTGCGGGACCGAGCGCCTGCTGCTGAGGGTAGAAGGCGGGTCCGCGGTGGCGGAGCTGCAGGTCAAGACAACTCCCACAAGCCCCCGGACGCGGCGCACTGGGGGCGGCCATGATGCCCCGCCTTACCCCGCCCCCTGACTCGCGGTGCCTTCGTTCATTGGTCCTTATGAGCCTGTGACCCGGATGTTTACGCGGACGCAGAGGACGCCCTGACCCTGCAAGCAAAGAGCGTTCACTGACATCTGCGAAGGTGCTGGCGTGTGGACGGTGCGGGGAGGGTGCATGGAGGGCGCCTGGAGGATGCGGGAAGGGCTGGAGGGCGCAGTGAGGATGGGTCTGCGAGAGGGTCCCCTGGGAGGCTGGCATCTGGCGTTGGCGCCTGAAAGAGATCAGGCCCGCTGATGGGTGCTCTGGGATGTCACGCGGGTCCTACTGCTCTTAGTCCTCCTGGCACCCCGACCCGAGGGTGCTGTGCTTGTCCCCACGCGCCGGCGAAGCCCCGAGGCTCAGCGGGGAGGCCCCGGATCCGGCCACCCCCGGTCTGCAGTGGTCAGGTCTCGCTGGCATCTGCTACACAAACCCGGATTGGTGCCCTGGCTCCTTTCCTTCATGTCATTGGAACCCCCACTCAAAATCGTCAAAATGAAGACAGTGGTCATGTCTCCCTCTCGGGGTTGGACTAAAAGGGCCTACTGTGAGAGACGGAAAGCAAAGCTCCTGGCACAGGGCCGGGCACACGGTGGGCACTAGGTAATGACCGTTATTCATTCAACCTCAGCGAGTAATTACGGGGGAGGGCCATGTAAGTGCTTGCTTGGGAACCAGTCACATCGGTGAAGAAGACGGCCATGGGCTTATGTTTTGGTGGCAAGACAGCTCCTCTGCCTCAAAAAGGAAAAGAAAAGAGAAGAGAAAATAAAAAGGTATAATAAATAGCAACACATTGTGACAAATACATTGAAAGAAACAAAAGACAGAACAGGAAAAGAGGAAGCTTCCATATCATGTCATGTGCCACTCCCTCCTGATAACAGAAGCATCTTCTCTTCCCTCCCTTTACTCCCTCCCAGAAACCCTGACACCCTTTCCATTTAAATAGCAGCACCCTAGGCCTCAAACATCCCTGAGCTAAATATTCAAGTCCACATGCCCTTTCCTGCCTGGAAAGAGGCAGAACCCAGCACCAGCCAGGCCCCTGCCCTTCCCTCACTGTATCCCTCAAAGGTTGGCCTATCTCGCTGTTTTCCCAATGACACTTGTCAGCCCAGCAAAGGCAGGGCCCCAGTCTGTCTGTTTCACGCACAACCCAGAGCCTAGCACAGTGGCTGGCACCATGCAGGGACTCAGTGGATAATTTGCAGTTACCGCTCTTCTTTACTGCTCTTCCACCCCAGACCAGGGCAGACGGAAGCCACGCTCAGCATTGACTCTGACCAGAAGCTACCCAGCCCCAAAGACAGGCTTGAGAGCTGGGAGATAGCCCAGGAGGAAGACAAGGGGTGTTGGGTAATTCATTGCCCAAACACCAGGCCCTCCATGATGCCCACCACGCCATCCTGACTCACTGCTATATTCCTGACACCTACAACAATGCCTGGCCCAGTAAATCTTTGATGCCGTCCTCATTACATTGGAAGAGAATGGAAGGTGACACATTCCTCACCTCCTCTGGTCCCAGCCCCATGCTTTTGATGACATCCCTTCTACCCAGGATGCCCTTTCATGGCCACTGTGCCTGCGAGTGCCCACACAGCCTTCAGGCTGAGCCCACACCTACCCACACTGCTGGAAAGAGTGAATCATCTCCCATCCCCAGCCCCACCATAACTATCACCAGTGTTCCCACCCCCCAACAGTGTTTCCCTTAGTGTGTCCTGGAGGCCATGCCACAGTTGCCTTGAGGTGATTAATAAAAATGCACACATCAGCTGGGCACAGCTGCTCACATCTGTAACGCCAGCACTTTGGGAGGCCAGGGTGGGTGGATCACTTGAGGTCAGGAGTTCGAGACCAGCCTGGCCAACATGGTGAAACCCTGTCTCTACTAAAAATACAAAAATTAGTCAGCTATGGTGGCACACATCTATAGTCCCAGCTACTCAGGAGGCTGAGGCAGAAGAAACGCTTGAACCTGGGAACTGGAGATCACAGTGAGCCAAGATCCTGCCATTACACTCCAGCCTGGGGGACAGAGGGAGACTGCCTCTCAAAAAAAAAAAAAAAAAAAAAAAAGGGAAGGGGGAAAGGAAAGGAAAAAAGAAGGAAGGAAGGAAGGCAGACACACACGTCTGGGCCTCAGTCCTGAGTTACTGAATCAGAAAAACAGAACTTAGAGTCTGGATTTTAAAGAAGTATGCCAAGTCACTTTTTGTCCCACTGGGCTTAAGAGTCTCTCAATTTTCTTCTCAATTTGAAAAGCTCAAAATGCTGTTCTGCTCTTACCCAGCAGGACCCACTCTATGTCATTTTGAAGCCAGTTTCACAAACCCAAACTTGAAAGGCACCCAGTGCCCTAGGCTCAATGCCAACAGGCCCAGCTCCTGGAGCCCGGGAAACCTGCCATTGGCCACCAAAGTGAAGCTTTTGGGGTCTCACCAAACTCAACTCAGACTCAAAAGGCTACATTAGGTCTGAAGATTGTGATAAGAGATTTTTCAAAGATAATCTAGGAGGCCGAATATATTTTAAGCACAAGTCACAGGATCTGGACATGTATTCATTCTGCCAGTTCCCTGCGCCTCAATTTCCTTATCTGTAAAATGGGGATGATAACCATGTCTAAGACATAAGGTCCGAGGACCTTATAAGATCAAGCATGGGGCCTGGCACACTGTAAACATTGAACTAACCAGATTTTCTTTGCCCGAACAGCCCTCTTTTCTTACACGAACAGTCCTCTTTTCTAACACGTGCTTCCTCGTTATTCTTCTGAGTATGCCACTTCTAAAAGATAAGCTGAGGTTGCCCTGCAGAGTGCAAGATAGTTGCAATATTTGAGAGTTTATTGTGTGTGAGGCCCTGGAGGAGGTTGAGGGCATAGGAGGAAAAACAAAGTCACACTCTACCCTCAAGCAAATGGCTGTCTGTGACAGTTACAATGTGTATAATATATTAAAGGCTGTCTGAGATAGATACAATGTATATATTAAAGGCTATCTGTGATAGTTACCCTGTGTATAATATATTAAAGACTGTGAGAGTTATCATGTACATATTAAAGGCTGTCTGTGGTAGAAACAATGTATATAATATATAAAAGGCTGTGATAGTTACAATGTATATATTAAGGGCTGAGATGGTTACAATGTATATAATAATGATGGAGACGTCCCACAGTGCATATACTGATTTCCTTCTCTTTAACCTAGTATTTCCTGAATTTATTGGGTCATACATATTTTTGGTTTTGGAGATTTTTCTGTGGTCTTTGGCAATGCTGTTCGACAGTATTTCTTGTGCTCTTTTTTGGGCAGAATATAGGATTGCATCTCCTTGCTCCTGTCCACGTGACTTGCTTTGGTCAACACATTGTGAGCAGAAGAGATATGTTACTCTTGATGAGAACCTTTAAGAACCATATTTCTCTCACCATGCCATGGTAATCAGCGATCCCCTGATGATGGGGTGGCTACAGGCTGGGTCTGGGAATGAGGATGACTTAAAACGAAGCCCAGCCACATCTGCTGGGCATACAGCATGAACGAGAAATAAATCTTTTGGGTTTTGTTTGTTGTACAGCATAACCCCCCTATCCTATCTAATAATAACAGCTAGAAATGTCTTCAAGGAACCCAGCATCCCAGAAAACCTGGTTTACAAAGTGCTAATCTGGTCCAATCAGAAGTAGAAGCGCAGTTCAGTTGACTAAGCTAGTTTCCTTCTAAAATCCAGGCTGAGTGTAGTGGCTCACACCTATAATCTCAGCAATTTGGAAGGCTGAGGCAGGAGGATTGCTTAAGCCCAGGAGTTGAAGATCAGCCTAGGAAATCGTGAGACCCTCATCTCTACAATAAAAATAAAAATAAAAATAAAAAAGTTAGCGGGGTGTAGTAGCATGCACCTGTAGTCGCAGCTACTCGGGAGGCTGAGGCAGGAGGACTGTTGAGTCTGGAGTTCAAGATCAGCCTGGAAAACAGTGAGACCCCCCTCTCTACAAAAAAAATTAAAAATTTTTAATTAACTTTTCATTTTTTTTTTTTTAAATTAAAACCTCCTCAGGAAGCTGAGGCAGGAGGATTGCTTGAGCCAAGGCTGCAGTGAGCTGTGATTGCACCACTGCACTCCAGCCTGAGCCACAAAGCAAGACTCTGCCTCAAAAAAA